GCAAGGAAAATGTATATGGAAAAGCAAAGAGGAAATGGGAAGGAAGGGAAAGGGACAATTTTGACACAGAAAACTTGAGTGTTCTGAAAAAAAGGTCTACATCTTATCCAAAATACAGATATTTAAATCAACATATGCTGTCCTTGCATCTGACTGAGGCTGTAGCTTTGCATGGAATTTGGCTGTACAGTTTTGACCGTTAGCTTCAGTGCAGAGCCTCACATGATGGCTTCTTGACAAATGGGTCACACTAGACATAGCAGAGAACAGGACTGGTAAGGATGACAGGAGGCTTTTGTTTGCACAAACTGGTCTTTTGCAACTTGTTCTCCTGGAGAGTTATAAATTTATTTATATAAATTTATTCTTAAATGATTCATCAGGAAAAAAAGACCCGATTATACAGTATTGATGTCAATGGGAGCAGAATATAAATGAACCTCAGCTACTTGTAAAGATGCAGACTTCCTTCTACAAATTTGTTTTGAATCATAAATAGGGAAAAAGCATTGGTAACTTGAGGGAAATTGGGTACTAAGCCAAACAGTGTAGTGAAATTCAACCCTGTTGTATGAATATCTCTTCAGATCCTGCTGGCAAAATTACTGTACTACTACTGTACTGCTTTGTGTACTACTGTACACAAAGAAAAAATACTTGCTGCAGCTCCACCTGCAACCGAGAGGAGTGGTTAGGACAATAATCCTTAAGCAGGCTTTGTTTTTAACACTTATTTGATGTACAGGAAACTAGGGCAAGCTCTCCTTATTGCCAGTTATTTTAGTGCTGCAAAGTGTCCTGTAGAAATAGGAGCAGAAGTTTCCCTTCCCCCAGTTTACTTGTGCAATCCTTGTGGCAAGCAAACTTTTATGAGGCATTCTTGGGAGCTTATAGTACAGCTGTTCACTTCTTTGCACTACCAAAAAGGAAAGAAAGAAAAAAAAAGGATGGAAAAAAAGAGACATGCTTCAATAGAAAGCCTTTTAGGCCAAATAAGTAAATAAAAAGACACTGACTCTTTATCAGTGACAACTGAAAAAGACATAGGTTACTAACACAGCTGCAAACATGAATTGCAGCATGGGTAAAATGCTGTATTGGGCATTTAAAATATTTCTTGATGATGACAGCTTTTGCCCAAAGCTCACTGATGTCTGAGAATGTAAAACCAGAGGCAAATTAAAGCATGCAGATCTCCATCAGGATGGTAACTTCTATCGTTCCCATTATGATAAAGTGAGTAGAGTGAGCTCGTAATGACCAAAGGCCGTATATGCGGCAGAAGCACGCTCATATTTTACAGTCAACATAACGAGCTCCAAAATTACACTTCTTAAGGAAACGACTGTTACATCCCTGTGACTGCCACTGACAGGCACATGGTTTCTGACACATGCACTTTCTCGTTAACACTAATGAAAATCAAGACTTTGGATCATTATAAAAGTCCTTGGTGGCAGCATGTTCTCTGGGGCAACCCTGCTCACAAAGATGCACACTTTAAATATGCAGATTTCCTCTGTGAACAAAATACCAAGATATATCCTAACTGTGTCCATGATGCCTTGAAAGGCCTGTGTGGGGATTTACCTAGGGACCAATTTTGTACCCTCATTCCCCATTAGTAGTAGAACAAACAGGTGCTGAGGAGCTTGACACTGGTGATTTCTGGGCTTTCTCCTCACACAACCTCACACATTTCAATAGGATGCACTCCTGGAGTTAAATACTGTGACACTGCTTGGCAGCATCAGAACGAAAGCAAGTAAGAGAGAACGATGGCAGCTTTTATCCTCGGTTTTTTATAAAGCTGGTAGAGATACCTATTACTGTCAGAGCCAAAGTCATCGCCAATTCTTTCCATCTTTCGCAGCCGTTCTAGTGTCCCTATCTTGTAATTTATAATGACATTCCTTTGCCTTTTCTCCAAGCGAATGTGCACTGCCGGGGCCGAGCAGGTGACAAGGCGCGCTCCTGAGCTGCTTGGAGGTTGGCTGCAGCTGCCCACGCGGCGCCATCGCAGCGTGTGCGGGGGCTGCAATGGGGCTGCTTTGTGATGCTGCCGTGGAGCGCGGCCAGAAATGCACACTCCGATACACAGCAGCAATAGAGAAAGGGGCCAACTGCCCGTTTGAAAATCGGTCCCTTCCTCTTTGTAAATCCAAGCTTAGTCTGAGCTAGTCTGATGTTACTGTTGTTTTGTTGCAGGTTGAGCTATAAGAATAGGGTTTGGAACCAAGCAGCAGTTAATGTTCTCCCTGACTCGGGCTCTTTAGAAATGACCGAATGTGTTACTTAGTAGCTTTTTATATAAAGCTTCTGGCATTGCTTTATTGACTTTTGCAGACAGGAAGGGTATATTATGGTTATTATGTTCTTATAAATGTGTACTCATACTGGCCAAAGGCTTTTTCTGTCTCTCCTTCTATAAAATAGCATTTCAGTATCAACTTTTGCCTTTCATGAATGTGCCACTTTTTCAATGCCTTGCCAAACTACTGCTTTTTCCTTTTATGCATACAAGTGGAAGCCGCTGTGTGCAATGATTAACAATCGTGTCTGGAATATTTCTAAAGCTTTTATATATATTGTATTCCCATCTAGGCTGTGATTCTGCAGACCTTTATGCATAGCTTCACACAGCATGAATCTGTGACTATTTCATTCTAAATTTAAAATGTATAATGAAAATCAAATTAGCACTTTAGTAACTCATTCCTTTCTTAAATATATTTGCTACTGAGCTGCATAAAACTATTTAAACAACACTTGAATAACAAGCTATTTAAACAACTCATTAGTTTACTGGATTCTGATTTCATTATACATACATGAAGTAAAATCTTAAAAAATTATGTATCCTTAAAAATGTGTTTGTATTTTAATCTTTGAGCCCCACACTATATAAACGGTTAATGTGAGTGATCAGTACTTCTAATACAGCCTCTTTCAGGTCTGAATGATATCCAAAGTTAGTGTAATCAATACATCAGAGGCGGTAATGGTCTCATCACTCATGGGCACAATCTGAGAGGAGTCCTTAATATGAACAATCACAGCTAGATTTGTATTGGGCAACTGAAGAAGGGCAAATATAGAGACATAATGACTTAGATGCTGTTTTTAAGAAAAAATATCATCTGCAATAGCTAGACTTCTGGATAAGACTGTCAACACTTACAACACTAAGAATGACTCCTATTTGATAAAATGGCAGTAATGAAACCTTGGCTGATAACACTATTTCTGTGCGTGTAAAGTTCCATTAAAGGTGAAGATGATTCTCTGTATTAACAGAAATAAATCTGGCCCAGGTTCTCAGGCTTATTCTGCTGACAGACTACTACTACTTTTTCCCCTTATCTAGTAATCATTTCAAGAATCATTAGTTCTTATAACACTCAATGATTAAAGCAGAATAGGATATAGTAAGTGTGTAATTTTGTACTAAGTAAGAGAATCCCATTTAATATTTTAAATTCTACAGAAACCTACAAAGCAGCAGCTAATTTCAGACATACAATTTATCAGGTTTAAGCAGTTTTACATTGCTTTAAACTAAGAAGTGCCCATAAATCATAGATTCTCCTTGTTTGATACTGCATTTTAACACTAAAATACTCTAGGCCTGTACAATCTCTAGAGAAGGGTGTAAAGATGAAGTGGCAAAGTCTGTTGTTGAGCACAATAAAGTTTAGTATTGGGCATATCATGAAAATATTTCAACTCCTTCTGTCTTAGTCATAGATGAAACATAAATTCTTTTGAGGAGCATTGTCAATAGCTACCATTGCCTGATATGTAGCATTCACAGGGATAATGTAGCTTGTATTCTATTTGATGGCAAGTTTACCCTTTCTCCTGCAATTAGGTAGAATTAAAGAATATATGCGGAGTGAAGTCCTGGGGGGTCTGCTGAGGGAGTAAGGAGCACAGAACTACTAGGATGACATTCGTTTATATGGTTATCACCTCTGCAAAAGAGGAGATAAAGTAACTTCTTTAGATATGATGTTAAGATATTCCATCATAAAGCTGTATATCAGTAAGCTGTTACAGTGGCTTGGTTTGGGTATTTAGCCGGTGGCTTATATCAGTCTACTTAACAGTCATTTAATATTTTGAAGTTTATTTGCGTGTACAGAAAAAAAAGGTATTCTGAATGAATGGTTGTATGTGCAAGTATGCTTGTGAACTGATAAGTGTAGGAGATGATAACACCGAAGTGTTGGCTGATTATATTTTTGATATAACACTAACTCTAATCTGAGCTGGAACATTGCATTCATGCAGACAGTGGACATAAGCTCTTACATTTATACCCAAGAGAAGGTTAATTCTTTGTATTTACACCTCTCAGAAAATTACTGAATGCTGTCATCTTGACATGCATTCCAGATGTGATTCACAGAAAATGTTTACATAAATAGAATATAAATACTTATGCACACAATTATAATCTCTCTATATATACATATATATAAATAAGAAGTATTTACTTCAGAAACTACGTCTGTATCTATAAAAAAAAAATTATGAAGATGGCTATAAAGTAATAACCTGGAGTATATCCCTTGTGTTTCTTTTTCTTGTTATTAGATCACTCTTTGCATCTAGATTCTTTTCACCATTCTCCTTTTCCCTTCATACTCACTCAGTTTTCCTTTAGACTGATATTTCCTTTTATTTTGGGTTTTGTTCTTAGCTTCTACTATAGCAAGCCTGGAAACCTGAATTTGCTTTTCCTCCTCCTCTGCCGTTGGGGGTTATGGCTACAGCCCTCCCAAATAATTCCCCCATCTTCCTCAAAACTTGTGCTGCAATGGTCTAGTGTATCTTCTCCATCTGCTTTTCAAACCTTGTTGCTTGGTTGAGAAGCCCATGGACCAGGACTTCTGTTCCTGGCCTAGGAAGACCTAATGGAGACCTATGATCTCCATTAAAAGCCAAATTGGTTGCTATTATTTTAAGTACTTGTAAGTACTTCATGAAATACTTACAGTTTTGCTCCAGGTGAGACCTGTGGTATGGTGCTCCTTGATATAGGCTTGAAGCTCAGACCAGATATTCAGATATGCCTTCACCCAGTCGACATGGCGTTCATCACTGTAAAACAGGGGCAATGCGGGTGAATGTTCGTGTTTGAAAACCTAACGTGTCGCTACCCAGGCTTCAAGCACGTAAAGCCCAAGGTCTGCCTTACAGCCATGGGCAAACCAGTTAGCAGGCTGATGCCTAGCAGACCAGAAGCTTCTTGATCCCTTAGGAGATCAAACAAGGGCTCTTGCACAACTGTTTCCTGCTTGCAGGTTGTGTCACCATCCTGTTCAGGCTCAAAGCCAACTGCAGGAGCATTAAGACTGTATGGAGCCCTGGACCAGCTACCTGGACTTAATATCAGGGTCTTGAATTTTAGAAAATGAAAAATCAGTGTGTTCTCTAAAAAAATCTAGTTTCTAAGTTCAAACATAGGCAGTTTCACAGCCAGTGTCACAAAACTAAAAGAAACAAACTGACTGAGGACTCTTCATAAATTAGGCTTCATGCAGCTCTGTTAGTTAATTCTAGATCATGTTACAGTGATCAGACTAAGATATTTGTAAGTCAAGAATTTAGAAGTACAAGTGAAAAGTTGACCCTGGAATTATTAGAGAGGCTGGTTGCACTTCCAGTTGTACAGTAAATGAGAACAAGAAGTATGCCCAGGAGAAACTGCATGTAAGATAGAGTCCATACTTACAATGGTCCAGTTCAGAATTACTCATGGATTCTATAAATTGTTAAGAACTGGATGCTCCCAAGGATTTGGTTGCCTCCCTTCAGTTTAGTTTCTTTGGAGTTTGATGCTTAGTACTGCTGAGAATCAGAGTCAATGGATTTATTCCAAAACTTACTGAAGTCAAGGCAGAACTTTTCACTGCCTTGAAAGCCACTGTGTGTTCTGATCAAACATTCCGTGAAAACCAGGAAAGGTTCTCCTCATCGGCAGAACCAGCCTCACCTCCAACTAATGTTTCTGACACCGTTTATAGCTTTATGAGACATTTCTCCAGAATAAGTATTTATAAAGTTACTTCGCAAAGAACTTCAGTTATGCTAAACAGATAAACTAGGGCTTCAAGAATAATGTGTAATTCTATATATAAAATAAATACAAATATATAAAAATTACACTATAAATATATAAGTGTTTATACACATACATACACATACAAATACATGCTTATAGGCATATATGTGTGTGATAATATGTATGTATATAAAGACATAGAAGCATAGATTTTACCTAGGAGAGGGTAAATAGTTGAACAATCCCACACTTTGGCTAAGAAAGGTGCTAGATAAAAGCTACATGCTGAGTGTTAGATGCATGAACTAGAGTGGCAGTACAGCAGCATTTAATATGAACAAAAGGACAAAATATGACTTTTTATATATATTTGTTATATATAGCAAACTTATGTATATGAGCATTAGTGTTAATGATCTAATGATACCCTGATTTGTTACATAAAATTATCATTTAAGAGGAAAAACTCATCTGCAAATACTGTTTTTCACTGAGAGTATAAACTAAGGGGCCAAAATACGGACTCCAAAAATGCCAAATCAAAATAATTCAAAGAAAGGTTTTTAAGAAGGGCATAGGAAGGACCTCTATTTTCCCTATTCTTCTATCAAATCTCATTAATGGAGCTGTTTCATGAGTTCCTCATGCTCTTTGAAAACAGTGCAGCAGTACAAAAAATCACTCTGGGAGCTGTGCAAGTAGATGCTCAGCTGAATTCTCCTACCACCTAAATGCTCAATGTCATTACAGATGAGACAAGGACGTGCTGCTGCTAGCTAGCTCTGTGTTCATATGTAAATACACATTTGCATGTAAGTTTGTGATGAACATGAAGCACAACATGAAATATAACCATATAATTTGCAAGAGCCAACACCGGCACTGCTAGTGCTGCTGCAATCCTCACTGCAATACCCATAGCTCAAAGATGAGGAGGGGAAAATATACTACTTCCATTTGGATTATATCAAATACTTTGTGGTCTACAAAACCCTTTTTTTGTCTTTGAAAATCCTATTACTATGGTTAATACTCTCATTTCTCCCTGTGGCTAGCAGATACTGGTGATCAGCAACATACCTGTGCTTGTAGTCCTTTAATACCCTGTTAGTATAAAAGGTAGCAGCATCATTCATCTCCTTGACATAAGGGCCTGGTTTGGGAGACTAGGACCATCACCCCATGGTAGCAGGAAACAAGAGAAAGAGAAAGGAGGGAAAACATTAGTAAGACACCTTCCCTGATATATTATAAAACACCTTCTAACATGCAGTAGACTGAAGGACTGTGCAGATGAGACCACTGAGTTCAGCAATATGTGGCACTCTTGATGGTCACCTCCCCAGAAGCACCCGCAGAGCCCTCCCAGACACCCTGTGGGTGACTCACCACTGCTATCCAGCCAAGCGCAGGGATGCTCTCACTGACAGCCGAGAGGTGGTTGAACATCTTGCTTCCTCTGTTCCTTTCTCTGAAGTTCTGGATTTCCTGAATCTTCTCTGATATTGGTTTGAGAAGCATTGCTACCTCATTCTGCAAGGAAAAAAAAAAAAAAAAAAACAAGAGAAAGATGAGTATGTTCTTGTATTGAAGTACCAGTTATATTACTCTAGTTGCAGCAGCAAAATGCAGAAAATAGAAAGTACTAAAAATATGTTGCAGCATTAATTATTCTCAGTACTGGTAGCAGTTTTATGTGCTATGTAGGCTAGGCCCCATAGTGACTCTGTATCACAGTCTGCAGACTGTTACTTTCTGTGTGTGTGTGATATCCCTGGAACTTCACGGAGAGTCTTTACACTAGCCTGAATTTTTCATTTTATTGCTCAAGATGTTCTTTCTGTAAAAAAATACAAACTGCTGCTTAGGTCAGTGGCCTCTTATCAGCTGGTAACAAGACTGAGAAAGTAATACATTGACAGCAACATCAGTTTTAGCTTTCTCTGTTGGTAGGTTTTAATGTTTAATTTCCTTTGGCTGCAAGCAGGGTGGGAGCATTTAATGCAAAACATATTGCCTGCAAGCCATGATTTGGGGAAATTCCCCTATGTTAATCAGAAACGAATGGTGTCCATGAGAATAACTGCTGAGCAGCAGGAATACTGTATGGAAGGAAAAGCAGAATGAATGTAGAAGCTGTCCAAACTCTTTCCCTGTGCAAAGTGAATGCTAATCATGCTGGCCCCGTGTCTGAGGAACACTAAATTAGAACACTAACTTGCTGGGAAAAACTCTTCCACTCAGGAACAGTGCATGTTGCTGGTGAGGGAGAAGCAGTCACTAGTTAAAAGCAACTAGATAGGGTTGCCCTATCTTGCAACCCTATAAAATGCTTCTATATATAAAGTCCAATTCTTCATGTTGAAAGTGTGCTCACAGAACCCATCCCACGTCTCACTAGCACGAAGGCACCATTCTGATTTTCCCTGGCCCCTCTCTCAGAAAACACTCAGAGCATTCAGGTATTTACCTGCCAGCTCTGCAAAACTAAGTATTTTTTTTCGTCATCTTTTCTCAAGAATATTTTTTTGAAATAAAATTAACTACTTAAGTACAGAGAATTGGTCCTTATATTCTTGAGGACTAGTGCTGTCATGACACACAGAAAACAAGGTATGTATGTATGCTATCTGCTGTCTGTAAGATACTTTTTTCCATGCTTCCATGAGACTGACACTTTATAGAATACCCTATATCCCAGAAACAGGACAAAAAGACACTGAATTTTGAATGATTCTGAGCCAACTATGGAGCCTTAACAATTCAGTGGTAATGGCATTCTGAGGAAGGCTCGTGTATCTGAAATACACAGGGGTACTGGTCTTTTCCTACAAAGAAGTGGCTTGGCAGAAAATGAACGTTTACAGTATTAGTGGGTGATGGAAAGTTCCTTTGTTTCTGGTTTAATGACTAGCATAAATCATTGAGCCTGCAGAAACCATAAAACCTCCATGATTTGTGGTTCCTAAAAAACTAATTTTTAAAAGATTTTTATCATATTGTGATACAGTCTGTAGGAATTTGTTGCTTGTTGACAACATGCTGCAGCTGGATGGTTCTTTCTTATTTTACAGGGAAATTTTTCAAGTATGACAGTAGCTAAAAAGGCTGAAATTTTAAAAGTACTTCTTCTGCTTTGAAATAATGCCAGTTTCTCTCCTGTAAAGTTTAAGGGATATTTACAGTCTTTAGCTTACTGTGAATCTTCATGGCCCTGTTCCAGACAACGCAAGTATCAGGGCTAAAAATAGAGCTCCCCAGATGCCTGGTATGCGTAGACAGCACTGGGAGGCAGCACGTTTCTGTGAATAGGGCACAGAGTCCACAACCTGAGGTTCTGCTTACAGCTCTTCCATGAGTTGTCATCGGGCACCAAGAAAGCTGCTTCACCTTTCCGGCTACAATTTCTTATATATGAACTTAGGCAAATACATTTTTTTTTTCTTTGTAGAACACTTTGACACCTAGAGATAAAAAGTCATAAATAGGGAGCAAATATTTTTCTGAATAGTGACTAAAGGCTTGTTGTTCCTCTGACTCCACCTGGAGGAAAAACTACCAACCAACTTTATAAGAGTTTTCTCTTACAAATACAGATAGAATTTCTCTGAGCATGTGCCTTTTTTACCTGTCCAGGGACTCAACTGTTTGAAAAACTGTAGCAGATTTAAATAATTTTACAGAAAAAGTCCACTGGAGGAATTCTAAAGGTGAAATATATATTGCTCTGCTAGGTAGCTCACCTAGCTTTTGGTAGCAACACCAGAAGCAGCTACAAAGGGCTTGAGGAGACAGACAACTCTATTCCATCTGCTTTGCACTGTAAGAACAGGATAAGCTGCCTTCTCTTCACTATCGACTCGCCCTGTTCTGGTTGTCTGGGTGGCTGGACAAAATGTGTCTTTGAAAATCTCCTGTGAGCCAAGCTGCTGCATAAGGGTCAGACACAGAGGAATACAGGGCCACAAGGAATTGCTTGATTGAGGCCTGTCCCCTGCCGTCACTTTAATTTTTAGTTAGTGATTAAACTGCGGCTGAATTACAGCATATATGGCATATGGGTATGGAAAGGCTCATTAGTTCTGGCAGTAATCACTCTTGTTTGGTTCTACAGTATAGGAAGCACATGTGCTAAGGGTTCTAGAAGAATAATCTCTTTATTGCAATGAATATTAAAACAGCTGTCTCTTAATAAAATGATTGTCTATACTGTATCTCTTAAGAAAAAAATGAATTCAAGGAGATGAATCAGAGCTGTTGGAAAAATCTTCAGCATGCCTATGGCATGTGCTAGATGAAATTTCTTGTCATCTAAGACACGGTACAGTTGTTTAACAGAAATTTAAGAGTCTTTCTATAAACACTGTTCCTATTATAATATCACTTTTGCTGAAATGTTTAAAAATGCAACTGTGGTACAAACAAAAAATACTGAAAGTAGTTCTAAGTATGCCTTGTTCTTTTTTTTCTAATAACTGCAAAAATAGATGATCTTTTTAGATATTAATATTAATACCTAAACAACCAGCCATCTTTGATCCATGCCTTATAATTCTTACAAGCCAAGTGTAGTAAGTCTACTGAGCTGGTTAGCCAAAACACTCCAAAGTTACAATATGCAGCCAGATTTGCCTTGGGCTTTGGCTACAGAGATTAAACAGTCTATGTCCAGTCTTAAAGAACGGCCCGGCATACTCGTATTCACTGAAAAGGATTGCTTCTCCTTCCAAGTTTTCATAATACTCACCTGAGAAGCCCCTCAGATGATGAGTTCAGCTGGAGTGGGGCATGAGGTGCAGCTCAGGGGAACTGCCAAACTTCTGTGATTTGCATCCTAAGTCACGTTAGATTGGGGGGCTTTCTTTGAGAAAAGGGGTAATTGTCTCCTGTCTCACTGTCTTGTGGAAATGTTCAAGCACGGATCACAAAGGCTCCAAACAGAGCACATTAACAAAAAATTATATTTTTTGAAGATCTTTATTTTAGAGCTAATATTATGTGGTTTTCAGGGGTGATATTTACTGAAGAATTTTTGAGCTGAAAGATAGCAACACAGTTCAGGTCTCATTATTAAGGTGTTTAAACCAACCTGAAGTTTTATGAAAAAAAACGCAGTGAGGGAACAAATGCACTTCTCAGTTATGCTAAATGAGGCAGCACAAGCTTTGACATATGAGCACTAAGAGGAAGCTGAGAACATTTGGGATCCACGACCCTTCAATTTCACTCAGCTGCAGCCAGAACAGCACGACTGCAGTCTTAATTCCATGCTGTCCCCAGGCTACAGTGCTGTTCTTTTTCTTGGGTGAGTTCAAAATCTTCATTGTACCTATGTTATGCAGAGGCAAACTGAGAGTGGAGTTGATTTGTGTGCTAGCAAGTAGTGCACCTCATAGGAGTGGCAAAACAGCTGGTGCCAAGGAGTTCACGTCGCTGCTGTACACACTGGCAGGAGCTGGTTTTAGCCTGGCTGTGAATTGGGCGTTAGGTAGAGCCTGGGAATGGGTACTGTAAAGGGATGAAAGCTGCCGTGGACGGCATCCACTCCTAACGGTTTACAAGGTGAGCATCTGCTGCCAGCTGAGCCTCGATTCCTTCTGCTGTATATGGAGAAAGAGACATCCCTAAGGATTTTTTTCCCAGCTATTAATAGATGTTGGAGTGGAATGCTGCACTCTGCCATTTACTGTGAGGAGAGTCCAGAAAGATATGCCTACCTGGGCAGTTAAAGCTGATAAGGAGTCCCATCCTGGGATTATAAGAATGCCAGTAAATATGGAATGGAAAATATTATTTTTTGTGATCACTAAGGAACTTCTTCTATGGATAAGTAAGATTTTAAAATTAAAATTGATGCATTAACAGTACTTTCCCAAATTTCCACATATTTGTGTTTTGTAAAAGGCAATCTATAAAGCAATCTTTCTAAAATTGGACTTGGTCCCTTTTTTGTATTTATATGTGGTGTATGAAAATTCTGTCTTCTTTTGTCGCTGCTTTTGCTGTTTAGGGAATTTTAAGATTATTTGTGCTGAGATGGACTAACTAGTCCAGGGTAGCATCAGTTTGAATGGAATCAGTGTTCAGATTAGGCATAGGAATAAACTTTTTGTATAAAATATATGGAAAATATCATTTTTCAGAGGTGAATCCAAGCTATTGGTAACCTTGGGCCTCCAAATCATGCTGCCCATGGTAAAACTCTGGATTTTTCAAATGGTTACAATTTTCTTTATTTCTCCTATAGTTAAATATGATCAGTTTTCACTGGCAGCTGTCAACCTGTTATTTCGCATTGCCCATCTCTATCTGTCTTTGTCAGGCCGTGTTTCACATTTGTTATCACTGTTTCACCTGGAGGGGGATGGAATTTGCAACCTCTCTCAGCCTATTCCACCTATGGGTCTACAGGATCATCCTGTAACCTTGCACAGCAGGAAGTAACCTGTTTTGGATGGAAAATACAGATACTTAGAATTGCAGTATAAGGTATTATATGTTACAGTTTCTCCACAAATGGTCACTAGAGAAAT